GACAATTTGTACCCATCAAAATTGCTTTGTAATAAGCTACGGTTTGAGCGTAACTCCACAATTTTCGGCATTCTACATAAATAACTTTTGAAAAAAATCTATTTCTAATTTGCTTCCCGGCGCAAAGAACTAGGATTGTATTTTTGGTTTTCTCTGATTCTGACATTTGGTGCACAAAATTTTCGATTATTTCATTTCGTTGTCATTCTATTTGGTTCACCTGAGTTCATACACGGTAACTTTTTTCACTCATTTTCGGCAACTTTTTTAGTAGGTAGTGCATAGTGAATGTTGGGCAGCCAGTGTTTAAAGTGCCAAAAACAAAAGTAAAAAGCTTATACGGCTTCCCACGGCACGCCAATTACGTAGTTCGCTTTGTCATACAAAAATTTCAGATCAAATTATCATGCGAACTACGAACAAATCGGTGGCGTATCTAATTTTTATCGGAAATTTAACGAAACCAGCTCACAAATTAGAACTCCCTTAAGAACCTACATTTTGCATTAATTTTGCAGCGAAGTAAAACAAAACACAAAGACAGCGAACTGTCAAATCGAATTAAGAATGTGCCCGTGGGAATAGGATAATTCGCGATCGTAATTGGGAGAGCGAACAAAGTTATTCAGGATGACGTGGGAAAGTGGTATTAGGAGCGCTTTCAATTTTGATTTTCCTATTTGAAGATGGGCCTTTGAATCGGCTTAGGGAGTTTCATAACACCACGTCTCGATTTGTGAACAGCAATCTCATGCGAACTGCCAATTTGATATCATGCGGAATGATAGAATAAAAGATTGCACCACCCTGGCGACGATGACATTTGTGTTCCATGGCTAAACAAAGCCGAATTGGATGTTAAAAAAATGTAAGAAGATCAAATTGTCTTAATATTAAATTTTTGACAGTAAACGTGTTTTATTTGTGCTTAACTAACGGTGGTTTCTGTAAAGTGAATTGTCTTTATAAAAGTGAAAGTACATACCATCCATTGCGGCGCCGTCACCGTCACCGTCATCATCACCGTCAACGATGATTATGCGTCAATCTACACACTATCCGTTAGACGTAGCGTCCGAAAAATCATAAACTCGCTGCTAATCTTTGCAAAATTTGCGTTTTACTTGTGCACTTCTTCTATTAGGTTTTCCTCCATAATTTTTTTTAATTTCGTTTTTCCATAGATCTAAAAATTTTCACAAACTGAAAAAATTTACGTTCAGACATGTAAACAAAACACTAAATAGTTGTCATTTGACGCAGTCGCAAAAGCAAAATTGAGAGTTGAGCTAATTTGTGCGGCACCGTCACCGTCAGCTTGTTCATGTAAATTACTTCATACAAATACACCGAATCAGCTTTTTTGACAACTGCCGATGACGGTGACGGCGACACAATGCACGTTATGTACTTTCACTTTTATTGTCTGGACTCCTACTTTACAGAACAATTTGGCAACTAATACATATTCTCAATTGTCTTGTCTTAAATTGTCTTATGTAAACGCAGCGTTAGTGGGTTATGCAAAGTTTGAATTACAAACTGTCAGCAAAGTATAAGAATTGTGTAACGCTGTGTTTACGTAAAACAATTTGAGACAAGACAATTGAGAATATGTATTAGTTGTCGAACTGGGGCCGAATCACGGTTCTCGTGATCGAGCAATATCTTTCGAAATTTTCTGTTGGCATCACCGCATTCGTGATCGAGTAAAAGTTATCGACATTTGGTATAACCACATTCGATATCGAGCAGAAGTTTCTCAAGACTGGGTCCACACAGAGAAACTTTTGTTACCAATTTTCGGCAACTTCTCTTTTGGTGTTGCCCTTCGCGTTCACACAGAACAATACTTTTGTACACAATTGTGGGTGTCAGCTGTGAACGGCCAACTAGAATTGCTCAGACGAACGAGAGTACACTTCCCCCTTCCTCGTCACTCACTCTCACACAAGTAACGAGTTGCCGCGACAAAAGTTTCTTTGTCTGAACCTAGACCAAACAACAACAAAATACATGGCATGATGGAAACCAAAAGTCAAAAGCGAACCCGTTCCTCGGAAAATGAAACTCATGATAAGACAGACTGGTTATAATAGGAAATCCTTGGGGCCGGAATTTTATAAACGTAGTATAATATTTACCTCCACTGAAAATCGTATATTGCCACCCTGGCGATTCTAGTTTGACATTTTGTTTTGTTTTGTCTTTCTCTATTTTGATTCCCAATTTCATCCTTTTGGACCGAAATGGGTGGGTAAAATTTCTGGCATTCTGGGCTTGCCTTCATATCGGTTTGTGTGTGATATTTGGAAAAGTTATTTTGCTCAAAAATCTAGGCAGGATATTTCAAACTTAGTAAAATATTATATATATATTTGTTAGTTACACTCAGCAGAAAAGAAAATTCGCGTTACTTCATACAAAATTTTAAAATTTTGGAAATCCTGGACTTATACGCAATTTTTCCTGGTTTTAAGACGATTTCTTTTTTATTTCGTGATCGCGCGTGTGTCCACGCCTAGCGTTATCTACTCTGATATTTAAAGAATACATACAGCGCCAATGTAAAAAAAAAAAAATAAAAATAGAATCATCCAATTAACGTCCTTGGCTAGAAAATGGGTAAGTGTTTAATAAACAAGAAAACGACAAAATGAACAAAAGCATATCTAATAATGGTGCAGATGGTGTAAAGCTATCCTGCAAGAGGGTCGCATGAATACTGACAATTAATGTGGTTGTGATGGTGACAATTGCATTATCCGCA